TGCCTCCCTGCCCCAGCGGGCGACGGGCGCGGCTGTCGCTACTGCAGGAGTGCGCGAGGACGAAGCGCCACAAGAGAGATGGCCGGAGCCGGGCCGGCGCTGCTGCGGGGCCGTGGCGTGCCCCGGCGGCGTTGGTGCGGCGTGGCGCAGCGGCGCCTTGCGGGCCGTGCGGCGGCCGGCGGAGGACGTAGGCGGTGGAGCTCGCAGACGGGGGAGAGGAAGAGCAGGCGGAAACTGCGAGGCGACGATGCGCACGGATGCGGTGAGACGGATGTGCTTTGACAGGTCCACGGGGAGAGGATAAGGCTGGCGATGGTTGGCGTGGTGGTTTTTGGAAGTGGGCGTGGCGGGCATCCGGTCTGTGCAGACGGGATAGAACGGCTAGGATGGAGAACTGTGGATGAACAGTGGTCTAGGTGAGGGGATATGTGGGTACTGTAGCTAATTCACTAGGATTAGACATCTTTATACATACTAAGTAAATGCCCATGCGTTGCAACGAGAAAACATAATACCACGATAATATATGTTTGAGCATGCATTATACTGTCATGAAAAAGATACTGCAATCATAATGCTTAGAACATCAATATTACATAAGTCTTCAAGAAAGATAGATAATTAAAATAGTTCGACCAGAAAAACATGCTTTACATTGACACCAAGCTGCAGCTCGTCACTAATAAAAAATGGTCGAGAAGATTTTCAAGTTTAAGATGTGGTGTCTGACTTCTTGAAGCCGAATCATGCAAATGGTTGAATCCACAGTTCGATGTAATTGCATATAAGTTATTTGTTAATTTTTAAAGCTACAGTATTGTTGACTATCTTGAAAAAATATGTATCGACGCATGAGATATTACCTCTTTTATAGAGTTAGAACCTCTATATACGAGATAGTTATTATGCAACCCCAACAACTACAAGATAGTTATTATACAACATAATTATAAATAATATACAGAAGGGTAAGGCACATTGCTTGGTTTAAATTTGTTTGCAGTGTCACCTATCGCCCCATCCAGTAGTGTAATTTTCGCCTTTTTCATACGATATTGTTCACGATGCTTCCTGTTGTATTCATTCCTCTATTTTTTGGTCCTTGTTGCATATCGTGCTCTTTCCCCTTTCCCTTTTTCGTTGCTTAGCGTCATCAACTTTGAAAATAGTTAGTATGCATGTTAAGTGAATAAATACGTAATAAATGCAAATCATTGTCTATCCAGGTGCATTCATGTACATGTGTGTATCAATATTTACCTTCATTGGTAGTGTTTGTCAAATCTCCTAGCGGAGTACGACCACCATTATTTTCCACCGGGTCCATGTCGAAGAAACTGGATATAAAAAAACTCTTGAGGAAAACATGAATTAACACATATTTTTCCTAATTGATAGCCTCAATGACAAGAAAAAAGTCTCTGCCAATTGATAATGATTTACAATGTTCTGAGGGTTAATTGATATGTTTTTTTCTGTCCATTACAGTTTTACAAAATCTGCATGCATGTAATGCTTAACACTTTCCCCTATACGACTGAAATCAAAATCTAGGCACCCAGTTGACATGTGCATGCAGTAAGATATTGTCGGTTGGTAAATGTAATTGGATCAAGCATGAGCAGGGGCGTGTACCTCAGTTATATTGTCATGTATGGCCGGACCTATACCAGCGCCGGGCCCGTGACATCAGGCGCACGGCGGAGCGCGCCCAGCGCGACACGGACGCGGCCGAGGGGCTGCCCGAGCCATCTAGTGGCTAATATAGGCAATAGTTGTTAGTATCCCTAAGATTGAGGAGAGATTAATTACTATTTTTATTCCATCAAGGATTATATATTTTCCCTGTAACCGGCACCTTGGAAAGTAAGCAAGATATAAACCAATCTGTCTTCTTCCTCCCAACTCTCAAGCCTAGGTAGCTGAGGGGTATAACCTCGTCCTAGAAGACGGATCGCGGCTACGAACTACGTAGCCGAGGTCCAGCTACCCCAAGGGTTTGACGCCCTTGACAACCTGGTATCACGATCCCGGCGATCCTCTTCTTTCCGCGCTCCAGCCGCCGACCCGCCCACTTCTCCTCCGATCCAGCAGCCATCACCCGCGTCCTCCTGCGCCAGCAGCGTGGGCGACGATCTACGGTCCACCATTGAGTCGCTCGCGAAGGCAGTCCAGCGGCTGCAGGCCACCGTCGAGGCCAACGCGACGGCGATCACGACCCTCTCCACCGATCGCGTGTCGTCCTCGGGCTCCAAGCACGTCGACGGCATCCCTCCTGTCGATCGTCCTCCCAAATTCCAGAAGATGGATTTCCAGAGGTACGATGGCAAGTCTGATCCGCTGATTTTCTCAATCGCTGCGAATCCTACTTCCACCAGCAACGGATCATGGAGGAGGAGAAGGTTTGGATGGCCTCTTATAACCTGGAGGACGGGGCCCAGATGTGGTACATCCAAGTCCAGACGGACGAGGGTACTCCATCATGGCGCCGATTCAAGGAGCTCATCAACCTGTGGTACGGCCCGCCCCTGCGGTCCGCGCCTCTCTTCGAGCTCGCTGATTGCCGCCGTACCAGCACCGTTGCCGACTATCAGGATCGGTTCCAGGCGCTGCTGCCCCGGGCCGGGCCCCTCGACGAGGCGCAGCGCGTCCAGCTCTTCACCGGCGGACTCCTGCCACCGCTCAGCCTCGACGTGCAGGTGCACAACCCCCAGTCCCTGGCGGCCGCGATGAGTTTGGCCCGCCAGCTGGAACTGCGGGAGCAGTTCACGGCGCTCTCGACCACCATTAGCCGCGCGGGCACCAGGCCGCTGCTTCCGGCCCCGGCCCCACGTCTCCTGCTGCCGGCGCCGATGGCCACCTCTCCACCAGCCGCCATTGAGGGCTGGCCGCCGATCAAGCGGCTGACGTCGGGCGAGCAAGAAGAACATCGCCGTCTCGGCCTCTGCTACAACTGCGACAAGAAGTTCTCCCGTGGCCATAACCGGGTCTGCAAGCGCCTCTTCTTCCTGGACGGCACCATGGAGGACGACGACACGGGGGAGCCCACCGAGGAGGCAGGCTCTGAGGAGTCGCCCGCTTTCTCCCTGCAGGCCATCGCCGGTGTCCGCCTCAGCGACACCATGCAGGTCCACGTCCAGCTGGGCGCCACTCGCCTCGTCGCGCTTCTGGACTCTGGGTCCACGCACAACTTCATCTCGGACGACGCGGCGCAACTCACGGGCCTCCCTCTCCAGCTCCGACCACGTCTCACCGCCACCGTGGCAAACGGGGAGCGCGTGTCCTGCGTGGGCGTCGCTCGCAACGCGGCGTTCTCCATCCACAGCACGCCATTTCGCGCCGACCTCTACGTCATGCCTCTCGTCGGCTTCGACATGGTCCTAGGGACCCAGTGGCTGGCAACGCTAGGACCCATCGTTTGGGATTTCAGCACTCGAACTGTCTCCTTCCATCTCGAGGGCCGCGAGTTGTGCTGGAATGGACTGCCAGGGTCGACCGCGACCAGTGCCCACATCACCACGGCCACGACGTCGCTGCTGGACGAGCTGCTCGAGGGCTTCTCCGACCTCTTCGCCGAGCCGAGTGGCCTGCCGCCTCCTCGGAGCAGCGACCACCACATCGTCCTCCAGCCCGGGTCCCAGTCGGTGGCCGTGCGCCCCTACCGCTATCCGGCCACGCACAAGGATGAACTGGAGCGGCAGTGCGCCGCCATGCTTCAGCAAGGGCTCATTCGGCGGAGCTCGTCGGCGTTCTCGTCCCCGGTCCCCTTCTCGTCAAGAAGGCGGATGGCTCCTAACGCTTCTGCGTCGACTACCGCGCCCTGAACGCCATCACGGTCAAGGACGCCTTCCTGATCCCGGTGGTCGATGAGCTCAGACATTTTTTAATCAGTAAGCCTGCATCCGAGCCCAATGTAATATCTAAGAACCAATCCAATAAACAAGTAAACTAAGGAGCATGCTTGAAATTTCCATACTTGCGTGATCTCCGTGGAGATGACTTGGGGCCTGTTTGAGCCACCGCGTTCCAGAAAGAGATGTGACGAGCGAAGCCAGCTGCCGCCGCCACGACCTGGAGCTCGGACTCCGACCGCAATGAGCCCGTCGTCACAGTCACAGCGACCACCACCTCATCAATCGACGCACCGTAGGCGGCGCATCAGACGTCGACACCGCCACCGGCAGCAGCGCGCGTGGCGCCGCGACCACCGCCTCCGTGCCAAGAACAGTGGCAGGATAGGATGAGGAGAGAGGGCAGGAGCCCGTAGAGGCCGAGGCCGAGGATGTTTGTTGCAGTCTTCCACAGCAGCGGGAACGGGAGTCGTGTTCGCCGACGAGGAGTCCCCGGACTCTTCTGCGGTCGCAGGGGAGAGCGGCGGGATCGGAGGGCGTCGAGCCTGGGCGACGATTGCCTGGAAGATTGCGTGGATCTGCTTCTGGCTTCAGGTAGCACGAGATCCCCAAGCTAGGCCTTTGCCGCATGCTATCGACTTGGATCCAGGATGCTGTTGATGCTGATTGGGTTTGGCTGGCAGCCACGGATCGAGACACGGGTGCCGAGCGGCCGAGGCCATCGATTGGGCGGTCAACGTGCTGGTGGATTGGGGTGTTCGGCGACAGGAGGAGGGTGGGGCTGGCGGACGAGGGTGGCGACTGGGCGAGGGCGCAGGCTTGGACAGCGTGCGAAAGGCGAAATCTCGGGCTTTGTTCGTCAGAGCGCGCATGCGGGAGCCTTCGGGTGGGCCCCATACGGAGGGAAGCTGGGAGCGCCCGACGGTAACTCGTCGCAGGTTGGATTCGTTCTGCCTGTTGGACGATTGAGCTGTAACTTTTTTAGTTGTAGAGATAGATGGTCGGCCGAGTGCCCCTGTGATGAACAGGATGACAGAACGGTATGCATTCTTATTCGGCTATGCATGCTCTCGTGAACTTGTGATGCATAGAATGGTCAGCCGAGTATATACATACAAAAAGATACAGGCGAGGGGTGGCTGTAAACAGCTAGCTGCAGCTTGGCCTTGGCGCAGACGCCTGTTTGTTCAGGTACTCGATCGCCACGGCGGCGTGGAGCGCGGCTCCGATGGGGAGCGCGGCCTCGTCGATGTCGAGGTGCGGCGAGTGCACGTGATGGATCTTCCCCGTCTCGTCATTCCTGACGCCGACGCTGAAGAAGGCCGCCGGGATTCGCTGCGAGTAGAAGCCGAAGTCGTCGGCCGCCATGAACTGGGGGCACAGCCTCACGTTGGCCTCCCCAGTCATGCTCTCGGCCACCGCCTTGGCGTGGCCGTACACCACCTCGTCGTTGACGGTGGCTGGGTATGGCTTCATCTTCTCCTCCATAAAGTTGACGGCTGCCGTGCACCGCCTTGCCGTGGGCGTACATCGCCTCGTCGTTCACGGTGGCCAGGTACGGCCTCATCTTCTCCTCCATGAAGTCCACCGTTGCAGCGCACCGGCTCACGGCGGCTTGTCACCATATTATTAGCGCACCGGCTGCTAGATCTGACTTTGCGCATTTCGATTTTAATATCTTCTCGCCGTTCGTTATGTGGTTATAGATTTGTCTTTCAGTCTTTTGTTTTTCTTTTTTATATGCTGCTAGATAGATGATACTTTTAGCCCTCCGTTTTGAATACCTGGTCGCCATTCCTGATATACGTTTTGTTCTATCATTTCTTTAGAGATACTCCTGCATCAATTTAGGCCCTGTTTGGTTGGACTTTTGGCTTTGGCTTTTAGCTCCAAAAGCTAAAAGCCCAACCAAAGGGGCTGCTTTTGGAGGGTGCTTTTTCAGAAGCAGCTGCTTTTCCGTAGTTCATTTTTGAAAGCTGGTTTGACCCTGCTTTTGGCTTTCTGCTTTTCGAAATTGGTGGAATAAAAAGCTCTTCCATAGTTGTTTCAAGAGAGATAAAGATAAAAGGTATATTTTATACTTGTTTAACCAAACAGCTTTCAGCTTTTCTACAGCTCACAGCCCACAGCAGCTTTTCCACAGCTCACAGCCCACAGCAGCTTTCTCCCACAGCCACAGCTCAACCAAACAGGGCCTTAGCATTTGGTCTTTTAGCCTTTTGATTTGAATACCTTGTCGTCATTCCTGACATATTTTGTTTTATAATTCTTTTTACAGATCTCCCCGATGTCCTTAATCTGTTTTCAGTGACCTTAGAGCTACTGCATATACTTTTAATCACAGCACCGGTAAGCTATTACCTCTTTTTGAAAGCACAGTACTCCACTTTCGCAATACCGAATATGTATCTTTAGTTAGCATTTAGCAGGTATACAGTTCTAATTGTTCCTTTCTAATAATTTATTTAGTACTTCGGAATTGTCAATTTTACCAATTAAGACATTTGTTGAGCTGAAGAGTCCAATGAGAAATTTAAGCTGTGCAAAATCTTTATATTAGCTAATACTTTTATGCACTGTGAGTTGCTTCTGAAGACTTTCAAACTACTTTCATTCTTCTAGCTGAAGGAGTACTTCCAAACTAGTAATTTAACTGATATTAGCAGATTACCAGGCTGCATGGTCTCCAAATATGGATCTTTGTTAGAACATAATGCAGGCTGCATGGTTGCAGGCTTTCGCAGAAGTGGGACCCACTCAGTCAACCCTGCCAGTGCCTCGTGTAGCAAATGTGCCTGAGAATCCTGCCTCCCTTTACTCTCGTTCAAGGACGCATTTTGGCACCCGGACATATCCCTGAGCACTTCAATATGCGTTTTAGTGTTTTGAAATCCAGCACACCATTTCTCCTTGCCTCAGTTCGTTCTTATCCGCTCCTTGATGGCGCCCATGGCGTTCTAGGGTTCCCAATTTCTTTCTTCTCTTCAGAATGGCGATGAAGACGCATTTGTCTCCCGCTCCCTATCATTTTATATCCTTCATTTGCTTCTTTGAATTTGTTTTTCGTCATCACTGATTTGCTTATCTGCTAATCTCCCCACAGGTTTTCTTACCCTTGATTTAGCATCTATTATTGTCTTCTAGTCCCCTAACAGATCAAAGCATCTTCTACTGGATCTACTTTTTTCAGGTACGCTTTGTGTTGTTAGTTAAATCTGATAGAGCTGCCTTTTATCCTCTTGTTCTTCTATATTTCTTTGTGGTAGATCTGCCTATTTTCATTTTGTTCTGAAGATCGGGGAAGAGTTCTTTATATACTGTGTGTTTTAGTGCTAGTTGCACGACATGTGTGTATTTTGTCTTTGCTATTTGCAAACATATCAAGGTTGAATTGACTGCTACATTTAACTTTATTTACTTGGTCTCGCTTTTTGCAAACTGAATTGGCTGCTACCTTCAACTTGTCTGTATGTGGTCTAGCTCTTTGCAAACATGCATGTTCTAGGAAGTATTTGATCCAATTTAATTTTAATTTTAATTTCGGAGCATAAATTATGAACATTTTATTCTCGCGTAGTTTTGTTAGATTAGCCGTGACTAGTGTCCAAACAAATGATGGTAACACAGATTACTTCCTGATTAAAATAGGACTTCATCAGGGTCAGCCTTGAGCCCGTATCTCTTTGCCTTGGTAATGGATGAAGTGACGAGGGACATTCAATGGGATATCCCTTGGTGTATGCTTTTTGCAGACGATGTAGTGCTAGTTGATGAAAGTCAGGCAGGAGTAAATAGGAAACTAGAGCTGTGGCGGCAGACTCTAGAGTCCAAAGATTTTAGAGTAAGTCGAACTAAAACAGAATACATGAGATGCGACTTTAGCAACGCTGCACATGAGGAGGGAGAGGTGCGGTTGGAAGGTCAAGTGGTGCCTAAGAAGGATACCTTCCGTTATCTAGGATCGATGCTATAGAAGGATGGAGATATTGATGCAGACGTTTGCCATAGGATCAAAGCAGGGTGGATGAAGTGGCGCCAAGCATCTGGCTTTCTCTTTGACAAGAGGGTACCACAAAAGCTTAAAGGCAAGTTTTATAGAACGGCGATTAGACCCGCTATGTTGTATGGAGCAGAATGTTGGCCTACAAAAAAACATGTCCAACAACTAAGTGTCGCGGAAATGCGTATATTGCGCTGGATTTGCGGTCATATAAGGATGGACCGAGTTCGGAATGATGATATACGTGATCGCCTAGAGGTAGCACCAATCGAAGAAAAGCTTGTCCAACATCGGTTGAGGTGGTTTGGCCATGTCCAAAGGAGACCTTCAGAGGCACCAGTGCATAGTGGAGTCCTATGTCGAGATACTAATGTGAGGAGAGGTAGAGGAAGACCGAAATTGACGTGGGAGGAGGCAATAAAAAGAGATCTGAAAGGATGGGATGTACCTAGAGACCTCTGTTTGGATAGGAATGCTTGGAAAGCAGCTATTGACGTGCCTGAATCGTGACTAGGGGTTCATGTTGGGTTTCAACTCTAGCCTACCCCAACTTGTTTGGGACTATAAGGCTTTGTTGTTGTTGTTGTTGTTTTGTTAGATTAAGCTCAGACTATAAAGAAAGCTCTTATGAAGCTAGTTGTGCCAGTCCAGTCTTCTAATACTAAACCAGTCTGTATCATTAAAAATTTGTTCTTGTTAATGCACTAATTTTCATTAGACAGTAATATTATTTTTTACTCATTTTTGTGCATTACAGTTCTGTTGGTCATTTTGCTAAAATAAAAACTTTTGCGTAGGATTGAAGCTTTTTTTGTTACATTGCACCATATTTTTTCTTCTTTGAAAGCCTTGCATGTCCACTGTTCTGCACAAGTAGTTCATAGCTTGAGGGTGATGGTTAGGTAAGGTAGCACTGATTATATTCACTGATCCCTGAAGCTTAATGGTTTTGCCTTTGCTCTGACACTATTTGAGTTTGATGTGTTACCATTCCACCCTATGGTATTCAGGGGGTTTTGTTTTGTATTCATGCACATAACATATATTGTAATGATAGCAATATCGATGTTTCGTTTTTTACATTGCGGCATATGTTTTGTTCTTTGAACGCCTTGCATGTCCACTGTTTTCCACAATTAGTACAGCGCTTGAGGGTGATGGTTAGCTAATGTAGCACTGATTATATTCACTGATCCCTAAATCTTAATGCTTTTTTCTTTGCTCTGACACTATTTCAGTTTGTTATTTTAGCAGTCCACCCTATGGTATTCAGGTGTTTCCTTTTGTATTCATGCACATAACATATATTGTAATGATAGCAATATTAAAATCAGGTAGCATGTTTTTAATCCCTTTTTTTTGCAACTTAACCTTTTTTGAAAATCTGCCCTTCGAACCTGTTAACTTCTAGTACTGTCAACTTACATTTTTAAAATTTTAATCTGTTTCTGCTGCATTTTTTGTACGGCTTTCCCACCTTATGAGTACTGACTACACTTCTTTCTTATATGCTGATAGATTTGTCTTTTAGCCTTTTGATTTGAAGACCTTGTAGTCATTCGTATCTATACATTCTGTTTTTTTTTTCTATGCAGATTTCTCGGTCAGTGTTGCCAGACCACCTACTTTTAATCACACTGAAGGAAAGCTACTTCTTCGATTTTGAAAGCATGAGAACTAGTTAAAGATTACTAGTAAAAGAGTACAGAAACTATAGTTGAATGGGAAATCGTAAGTTTGTTAATTTTATACCAGGCAGTATATGCTGGTACTTGTGCTAAGTCCTTGGAAAGATGTATTTCTTTTGCTAAGTGGGTACTTGAGTGGTCACGCTTGTGCTTACAAAGACAACTATTTCAGGCCGTAGCCTTTTTTGTTCATGTTTTTACTTACGAATAATTCAATTGCAATCATGATTAAACCATTTTTTCATGTAGCACTCATAATATGTGCACACAATTGAGTTCAAACATCCACTTATGATGCATTCAGTGAGTTGATTTATTCTCCCGTATTCCTATCTATTTTCTTGATTTCCTTATTGTTTGTGTAGGGTTTTGCAACTACTTTGATTCCCCTTTGCCTCTAATGGTCCTGTTTGATTTGATCTCTTTTTTGGGGTTTTTTTGTATCATGCTCCCATCCCCGTAGCAGGATTAATATCATTTATGTTTCCCTCTATATATGTGAAATCCATATGTGACCAAGTTTTAGCTATATGTGCTCTAAGTGCTTGAAGTATGCCCATTTGTTTTCTCTCCTGTAGGTTTTATGGTGGAATCCTGCCAACACAGTGACAATGATCAAAATGGCAAATGTCACTTGTCTGTACATAAAAATTAATTTGCATCATTATAGATTGTTGATATGTCTTACTAAGAACTCAGTTGGCATGTACTATCGAGTTGGTTGCTTCTTCATGATCATCCAAATAAATAGAAGGAAAAATAAATGCCTAGCAACATAACCATGCACA